CGCACGCACGCACACACACACACACACACACACACACACACACACACACACACACACACACACACACACACACACACACACACACACACACACACACACAGCAGCAGCAGCCCTCTACGTGCTAAAAACTTAAACATGAAAAGGTTCAACTAGGCACGCACATCATCTCGGCTCGCGCATAGATTGCACAATAATGTGTTGTGCACCTTGGAGGTGCAGCGCAGCATATTGTCATTCAAGAGATGCGCAGTTATTTTGAAAAACATGTTTTTCTTTTAGCCAATTCACCTCGTTAGCGTAAATAATACTCATTACATTGACACATGCATCATTTGTGATTAAAATAATGGTTGTTGGTAATGTATTAGCGACCCCCACAGATGTATGATTTCACTGCGTCCGTGGGAGCTCAGACCCCTCCTTATGGCAGCTCAGCTCCCATTGGCTCCCACATAACTCGAACCCTGGGTTAAACTATATTTTCAGTTCAGTGTTTTCAAAAGGATTGGAGAAAAAACTATTGGCACAGATTCTATGAAATGGGTGCAAAGGCCAAAACCTTGCAAAAATGTTGGAGTGGATCAAGGTCACATAACTGATACACACACTATTTTTCAATTTGAAAACATTGGGAGATAGGGTATGGCCTTTGCAGAGGTGCGCACTCTGCGTGTCCTAGTTGTAACCTTTTTTTGGGACAATAGGAATATGCTCATGGCCAAAATGTTAAAATATACTGTATATATATTTTTCTTTTTCTCAAATTCTCTAATACCATAAAAGACATGTCTTTCTATGGTAACGGTTTCCTATTTCTGTCCTGAACAAGAAACAAAAGTCCAATTAAAGTAGGAAATACACACAATGACACACTTCTTAACCTCTGTGACGGAAAAAACAAAACAAAGCAACTCTTCCTTAATCCTTGCATATTCCTTTTAATAATTGCAGATGAGGTTCAAAAAGCTGAAGAAGTATTTAAAAGTACATTTTTTATCATGAAGGAGTAAAGTAAATGCTGGCTTCTACCTTCTTCTGTAAGATTCATCCCTCCATGTCAGTGTACAGAATGACAGGACAAGCTTTACTCAAATATGAGACTAAAGGACTTAAATATATTAAATGGTGAAGTTAATCATATTCAGTTTTACCCTCTGTGGCGTGTTGACTGACTTATATTGGAAGCTTACTCTTAAAACATACTCATGTTCACTTACAGTATGTTACTTAAAATCACAACGTTTTCCCCGCAGTCATGTGACCTGCTAAACATTAGTGTTAGTGATTTTTCGGCAATGTTTTTGAAACCATTTATTTGGAATTGAAAATGAATTACCATTTATTTTATAAACTGCTATGTCTTGGCAGAGATTTAACTACTGTAGGCAAGGCAAGGCAAGGCAAGTTTATTTATATAGCACCTTTCAACACAAGGCAATTCAAAGTGATAATAAAATAAACATTAAAAGAAAAAATACATGGATAAAAGTTACAGTGCAGTTTAAGATGTTTAATACTGTACTTAAAATACTTAAATATAAGCAGTTGAATAATGAACTAGACAAGACAATTGTGTGTGGTTAAGTTTAAAGGGTCACCCTAATCAATAGGGTTTGATCTCTGGGGACAGCCACACCAATGTCATGTTTAAACAGCCATAAGATATCCTGAGAGGCTTCATTTTGGATAAGGGAATGCTTGTAAAATCGTTGATTACTGACTTTAATCTCTGTGGAGCATGAATGTGCTTAAACCTTTCCTTGATTACAAATTAGAATGTGCTACAAGAAAGGTCAGAAGGTCACCAAAATCATTATCATCGTCTGGGGACCATGAATCTGATTACTGGCCTATATGGAATTCTGAAATGTGATGAACATTTTGTTTCGTCATTTGCTTGTGCACAAACAAGAATTTGGCTTATTATCCTCTAGGGACCAGGAATATCCACATAAAAGTCGGATGACCCCAGGCAGTGCGGGTGGGAAGCATCACATCCTCCACCCTGATCCTCAACACCGGAGCCCCTCAATGCTGCGTGCTCAGCCCTCTCCTCTCTTCACACACGACTGTGTGGCCACACACAGCTCCAACACCATCGTGAAGTTTGCTGACGACAAGACTGCCTTCGGCCAGATCACAGACGGCAACGAGACGGCGTACAGAGAGGAGGTCGAAAACCTGACATCTTGGTGCCAGGATAAGAACCTCCCTCTCAACGTCAGCAAAACCAAGGTTTGTGGATTGTGGATTACAGGAAGCAGCAGGGAGAGGGACACGCCCCCATCGCCATCAATGGGACTACGGTGGAGAGAATCAGCAGCTTCAGGTTCCTCGGTGTCCACATCACTGAGGCTGAACATCACCCTGACATAGACTCATCACTGAGGACCTGACGTGGACTCTTCACACTAACAACATCACCAAAACAGCTCGAAAGCGGCTCTTCTTCCTCCGCAGGCTGAGGAGGTTCAACATGGACTCCAGGATACTCTGCTGCTTCTACAGGTAAACCAGAGTATCCTGACCTTGCACAGGTGCACCATAGAGAGTATCCTGACCTTCTACAGGTGCACCATAGAGAGTATCCTGAACTACAGGTGCACCATAGAGAGGATCAAGACCTTCTACAGGTGCACCATAGAGAGCATCCTGACCTACAGGTGCACCATAGAGAGGATCCTGACCTTCTACAGGTGCACCATAGAGAGGATCCTGACCTTCTACAGGTGCACCATAGAGAGGATCCTGACCTTCTACAGGTGCTACAGGTGCACCATAGAGAGCATCCTGACCTTCTACAGGTGCACCATAGAGAGGATCCTGACCTTCTACAGGTGCACCATAGAGAGCATCCTGACCTTCTACAGGTGCACCATAGAGACCATAGAG